AAGCCTGTTTCACTTTAAATAACTTTTAAGAACTTTGATATAACTTCGTCTTCTCAAGTTTATAGGTCATCAATTTTGTTTCATTTGGAATGTGTTAAACAAAACAAAGTCCGTGTCGGAAATCGTTTGTTTACATAATCAAACCCCCTTTAACGCGTGACCGGAAAGAGACAGGCACGAATCTGTCATCGTTAGTAACTGTAGCCAACCAAAGAAAACATTATACGATTTCTTTTGTCTTGTGGTCTAAACATCGAAGAGTGTGTTGTAATCGAACTCGGGACGTTGTGAGAGGCAAAATCGTGAGTGAGTGATTTTTAGCGTTAGCTTTATCGGGAAAACATTGTGTTGTCAGGTAAACATCTAATTCCCAACATCTGATTGTTTATACAAAATATCATTTACATAACATTGCGATCATATTTTCACGACTCTAAGCATTTCACCACATTAATTAATTTGTGAAAACCTTAAATCACTTTTTGTCGTGTGATTCATCTATTAAGGACATAAGAATCACACGTTTGAATAAATATGATTGTAGCAGAATTACTGTAGTACTTTCCACCCTGAACAATCCGCTTCTTACAGCTTGAAATATCAGACGCATTCCGCCACGCTCAAAACAACTCCCAATTAAAAGCTCTTACAACGTGTCATACTGAGAATTATAACAAACCTGCATTCACGGAGACCCAAGGAAGAGAAGATGGGTAGTTAAAGGCTGCAACAACTTCGCACACTGCCATGTCATGTTCAAAATGAAAGAGAAAGTCAGATGGTGTATGGGAGGATGACGTCATCTCAAGGGCAACAATAACCCAACATTTCTCTGGCTATCCGGTCACCGCCAAACTAAGACACACTGTGTAACGCTAGTAGACCAAAATTTAATCCTCTCCTCTCAATGTATAAAAACATTTTTATCTTATTAAGATGGGTATCACAAAGAGCTAATTACAAAACAACGTCTAATGCGCGTTCTCTAACAATTGTAACTCACAAAAATAAATTGTTAATTGATA